GCTGTTTGCATTTGCATCTTTGCATCTATTTTTATACAACTTTGCATGCTGTACATGCACACGTTGCAGATAGTGGTTTTTGCAGGCACTGGTGGAGGCTGGTTGTCTGCACGAAAATACTGGCTGAGGAGTTAGTTGTGCTAGATAAAGAGTGGTACCCCTTGGGAAGAGAAGTGTGAATCGGGGTGAGTTCTGACAAGGTTACAGTGGGAGCAGTCTCCCCAGCAGTGGTTATGCGCTGCAGCTTGAACCCGTAAGACGACTGCTCAGGGAGAAGCAGAATCGTAGAATCTAGTGAGCCAGGGTATCTCATCTGGCCTGAACTGGTAAGAATTTATCCTAATTTAGCTTCAGTAATTGAGTTTATTTCTGTATCAGTGCTGCGGAAGGGTTCAGTTCAGTAGCGGGTGAAGTTTGATGCTGAAAATGGAAAAAGATTACACAAGGCAACTGCTGCTGCTTTGTAGGGCACCGTGAACAAGGTCACACGAATTTTAAGGTGATCGGTTAATATCCTCAGTGGCATTTTTATTAACTTATGTGTTTGTATTATAAAGTAAGTAACAATTCCATAGCTGTGGTAAGGGCTTTTCCAAGAGGAAAATAGAAGAAATATCAAAGTCTTTTTAGTATATCTCGAGTCTCAGTTACCTGGTTTTAGAAGATCAGATGAAAATACTTTGCCTTATAATTTCAAAAGAGAGGTATGAAACACTTGTTGTGTACCTCCTGATTTTTATTTTGGTTTTTATTTTTGGTCTCGACTTCTAGGATAATGCTGAAGTTAGGGGTGATCCTATCTAACACTGTACATGATCATGTTATACATACATGTGACCATACTTACGATGAGATGTCTGTGTGTGTTAGGACCATGCTTCTTTCAAGACCATTTCCATGTGCTTCAAGATCAATTTAGTGAGCATCCTTCTGTAGTCGAGATGGAGTGCTGTAAGGAGGTGACCGTGTTGCTGTAGGTTTAAGTTGCCCTAGGAGAGGCTTGCCTCTGAGCCAGCCTAAAGCTCTCCCACCCCACCCGTCTAAGGGTGGCTGGAGCTGTCGCACGGGGGCCTGGTTAGAAAAGGTCTCGTTTTCAGTGGACGTGCCTAAAATCTAGCCGGAGGCAGCTGTTTGCACGCAAAGCCGCGATGCTAGGTCTGCACCCCGCCGGGGGAGGGGACCCCGGGCCGGGGCTGCGGGGCGCGGTGCGGGCCCGGCCCCGAAAAAGGGAGCGGAGGGAGGAGCTGACCTCTGCCAGCACCGAGGTTGCCAGCCTGAGTCAGCGGAGACTGAGTAAGAGGTGGGAACGGTTCCCATCGGAAACCGGAGCCCGAAAGGATCCTTGCGTGGGTCCCGAGTGCAAGAGCCGCCCGCTGGCCGCCGCCGGTGTCCTCTCCCGCCCCGTGAAACGGTGGGACAAGCTCCCACGTGGGGATGTGGCCCACCGTAGTTACCCTCTAGCAACCGGGTTTTTCTTCACTGGAAGAAAAGCGTGGCCCGAGACTGTTTTTGGTATTCATGGTTAAGTTCCCTTAGGTCGTTATTGTCCGTGTTATTAATCTCTTAATCAGGTATTGAGACTTTATTTAAGGAATGAAAGCTTACAGATTTTCTCTGTGGAAGTAAATAATTTTTCATGCTTATCACCCTCTAATTAGGGTTCTTCAACCTTCTTTACCAAAGTGGGTGCCATCCACCATTGCAGGTAATGGTAAAGAAAAAAAGTACAGTGAGGTTACAAGGTCTGACCTGCTGTATTGCTTCAGCTGTTGAACTGTAGCACAATGAAGTCAGTAGTCCAAATGTCAATATTGTGCATTCACACCTGAGTTATTCTAAGCCTCTTACAGTAGAGGTTTGGCCAAGGCTTCTGTGGCACTTTAACCCGAGCTCTACGAGATGGATACATAGACCCTTGAAAGGGCATTACAGTTCGCTGTCCCTGGGCTGCACGTAGGGTACAGGCAGCCTGCCTTCTGTGGCACAACAGCTGCCTTAAAAAAAAAAATCAAACAAAATAAAACTTAATGCATTTGGATCTGTGAAATCAAGGCCATGGTAGTTGTTTGCAGACCTACAGGGTTAATGTTGGTATTTGTCAAACTTACTGAGGAAGATTTCCCACCTATATAGGTATCTCTTGCTTCTCTGTTGCAGCAGAGAATTAGAGCCTTGCTTGATCCTGATGATGTGATCTGTTTATAAAACTGTTTTAGTGTTCAGGCCAAACACAGACCACAGCCTGTCTCTTTTTGATTGTAAGTTCTACACTACAAAATGTTTGCTATTGACTTGATAATTTTGCAGCTTGGATGAAAGAACAAAAATTGTGCTGCTTATTTTTGTTGTTTCTTTTGTCTTTTTTGTTTGTTTGTTTGTTTTTTGGAAAAGGATGAGGCTGCAAAACTGACTTCAAAAGTGGCTAGAGCTATTTTTGTAGCTACTGTATTTTATTTAACTGTATTTCTCAATTCTGTTTTTTTTAAGCATAAAAGGCAACTCACTGAAGCTGTCTCTCTTGAAAAAATGTTAAGCATTCATTCTCAATAAATAATTATATGGAATTAGCAAAAGAGAGATGAAAAATCCAGGCTTTTAAACACTTGGAAACCATAGGCTTGTGTTCTCTTTTTGGTTTCTTATATGGGAGGAAGAAAACCAGTGTGGATGGGTCCTCATCCTATGTTTCAGCTTCCAAGGTAGCAGGCCTTAGAGGTAGACTGTAACTCAAACACTTCAATTTTTCTGGTATATGACCTTGAAGCCGTGAAAGGGGCTGGTAGCAGCTTTGAAGAAGTGTTGGGAGGAGTCAAGTTTAGTAACAAAGACAAAAAAACATGTGTATGGCAGAGCTTCCAAAACTAGGAAAGGAGTGGGAATGGCTGCAATTCGTTCATGTTTACGTTCTGCTACAGTTGCTAAACAACTGCACAGCTGCACTTAAAAATGCCTCTTTATGTAGAACAGCAGGTGAGCAAGTTGTTTTGTACCGAGGGTGTAAATAGACTATAATGCTGTGAATTTCAATGTACCGTTTCATGGTAGAGAGAGTAAACACCAGAATCCTAGCATTCATTTTACTGCTTTGTGTTCCTACTGTCAGCTTTCATTCCGTCTCCCAAATCCTCCATAAAATTGTAAGTCTGACCTTGTGATTCCATTTGGAGTCTTGTAAAGGATGGTAGCTTTCAAGTTACCTGTAGGAAATACTTCCTGGAAGTAAAAGAAGATGAGCTGTGGGAGACACAGTTTAAAGATGGGCACTTCTGTCTTTTTGTCATACTTGAGCATTTTAGCTTTTTAGCTGTTTCTTTTCTACTGAGTTATGTGGGAAATGTTTGGGTTTTTTTTTTTTTCGAGGCTCAGACCAAATAGCAGAAATGGTGAAATAAAAATTCCAGAACTGTTAGGGGTTTCTGCTTCAGCTCTCCCCAGAAGTCCTTTTTTTTTTGTTGTTTCTGTCCTTAGTCCCGTTTAGGGTAGCTGAGTTCATTCTGCGTGTGAGTACCTGCGTGGAATTGCATTAGTTCCACTCTGTGGCAGGGTAAATGCTATGAATCTCATCACAAAGTCTGAACTTGCAGAGCTGCAAGTTTCTACATAATTTTTCTCATTCATGAAACATGCATTTTTTTAAAAAAAAGATTTATTTGTTAATCTTTAGAAGATTAAATGTGTCAGCATTTTACTTGAACTCTCCTACATTCTGTTTGAATGCTATAGATCTTCCCTTTTACTTACATGCTTTGATTTTTCAAGATTAAGAAATAATACATTTCATGTTAATTTACTATGTTGTGTTCAGTGTAAGTTGGCAAGACTGATGCTTATCCACTCATGAATTGTGACATTGATGCTACATGATTAAATATAGAGAACTTGTAGTTCCTGAGTGTGGATACAATGATGGTTGTCTGGATTAGAAGATAATGAAAGTCCTTTTCAAATTTTTCATGTATTATCCTTTCATTTATTATTCGGTTTTGATTTTGGCTCGTAGTCCTGTTTTATCATTGGGTTTTTTGTTTGTATTTTCTGTTTTAGCCCTTAAACTTTTGATTAGATCAGGTTTTCTGTAAGGTAAATACCACAAAAATCTCTCTTAAGAGCAAAGTAAATAAGTAGAATTTAAACCATTGACACTAAAGGATCTTGGAAACATTGAATGCTTTTGCTAATACTGCCATGGTTATAGATGAAATACTATGTTGCAGTTATACCAGCAATTTAAAGAAAGAAATAAAGAAGTGATTATACCACCTGTTCTATAGACAGCAGCTAGATGCAGAGGCAACATGATCTGCCATGTAGGTCAGATAGCTCCCCAGCCACCCCTTCTCTGCTTAGGTGGAGGTTAGCAGGCTCTGTGGGGCAGGCAGCCCGTGCGGGTCAAGGACTGCCAGCCCATGCTGAACCTGATGATGGAGATGTAGCATTGGAGGAAGATTTTAACGGATTCTGTAAGGAATTTTGAGGGACTGTTGAACTGAAAGAGGAATCAAAATAAATATTAATCTTCTCATTTTGAATATTTTGATTAAAACTGGTTTAGTAACACACTTCCATGAAGGAATTAAACCTGTGTGTAAGAAAGAGATTGACTCAGACTAGTCCCCCCACCAAGCCCCTGATGATCAATCAACATTATGTGGTAATAGAAACAACAGGCTTACTGAGCCACTTGATAGCAGGAGGCTTGTGTGAGTAGGAGACTTAAGTTGGTGACTAAGTTGTTCTACTGACTTTCTGTTCTATCACTGAGGAAGGTATCTGAAAATCTTGCATTTTTCCATCAATTAATTAGTCTGAGGTTGAAATAAATAGAATAGGCAGGGTTGTTTTTGAAATTATTTTCCTCTGAAGAGCTGTTAAATAATCACTTTATTACATACAGATTGTCTTTTTTTCTTACAGCTCTGATTATTAACAGGAAAAGAACACTTCTGAAACAGAATGTGGCTTACCTGTTGCCTGAAAAGGTGAAATCTTTTCAAATAGAAATGGCTGATAAAGGTGGGAAGATCCTTCCAGGACAATTGTACATTGAAGTGGAGTATGACTATGAATATGAGGCCAAGGACAAGAAAATTGTGATTAAGCAAGGGGAGAAATACATCTTAGTGAAAAAGACTAACGATGATTGGTGGCAAGTCAAACGAGATGAAAATTCCAAACCCTTTTACGTGCCAGCACAGTATGTGAAGGAAATACCACGAAAAGCACTGATGCCACCTGTTAAGCAGGCCAGCATGCTGCCAAATAATGCTTTGAAGTTGACACATGGATTACAGAGATCAACAGAAAATGTGAATAAGTCACCAGAGCTTTCTAGTTTTGGAAAATCTTCTCCAGTTCAAGTATCTTGCTTGGTTCGAGATACCAATCAAAATCTGGGACCGAACAATAGCCCTGGTCAAACTCTTGGTTTGAGTCTGGACCTTACCCAAAACAATGGAAAACTTAACAATGAGTTGCAATCTCCCAAGGTTTCCAATCAGTATAGAACCATCTCCATGGGTCATTTTCCATGTCCAGAGTTCTTGGAAATAGAGAAGACTAGCTTTTTGCATGAACAATCTTGTGATTCGGCAGGAGAAGGCTCAGAAAAAATTCACCAAGATTCGGAGTCTGGAGATGAACTCAGTAGTAGCTCCACAGAACAAGTGCAGGTAAGCTAAACAATGATCTCTGTAGATTTGTGTGTGTGGTTTTTTCCTTTTATTTCCTTATTGCCATAATTGCTTGCTACTATTTTGAGATTTATTCATAATAAATTCAGGTTGTTTCAGTAAAAATGTCTTATCTCAGCATAAACTGGTTATTGAAGTCTAAACAGTCGATGTGTATAGCTCTTCCTTGCAGAAATACTTTGCTTTGGGGATTAATTCCATTTACGTTATCCTGTGATTGAATGTTACAGTAACACTTTTGTTCTTTCTTTCTTAAGGTCATTGTGAGATGACACTGAATTTGGGTTATATTTTCTTCCAGAGGAAGGCAGTCTACTGTAGTAACTCCTCACTTCTTGGCTTGTTGAAATAATAGTGCTAGTTGCTGTCAGCTTTTCCTTAGTACATGTATAGATAGTGTAAGAGCTGTAAATTGATGTATTAGTGGGTTTAATAGTTTAGAAATGGTACACATATTTATATGGGGTTCAACTTCTGGCTTGATTATTTTATTTGTAGACTCTTGTTGTAATGAGTCAACCTGCCAGTTCTGCTTCTCACAACTTTGCTCTGGATTAAAACTCAAAACATGTGAGTTTGTTAATTAGTATGGAAGAATCTCAGGAATGATGTATTCCTACTTCAGGCTAAAACTGAGCGTTGATGGCCTTTTTCCTTAGTAAAGTGGTTTTTCTCAATCAATTTTTTTTTTTCTAACAGGCCTCCCCCACCCCCAACAAAAGATTAGCACTCTGACTTAGATAATCAGGTCACTTCTGGTACGGGTAACCAAGTTAATTAGTCTATTGTAATCCAGGTTTGTTCTTGAACCAATGATGCATGTACATATGCATAACTATGTATGTGTGTATATAGGTGATTCCCCCACCTCACACCCCCCACATCCCCCATCTTTCTTTAGGGAGATGTTAAATTATTTTAAAATTGTAAGGTTAAAAGCTCCCTTGTAATGTGAAACTGTCATTGCTTGGGTACAAGCTGATCATTATAGTAAATCCCACTTGACAGCATGTATTCAAGGTACCAAAGGAACTCACTCAAGTGTGGTATTCAAATAAAAGTTGATGTTAACTTTAGAAATAAAAATCTTATCATGGAGAGCTGTGAATCAGTACTTTGCTAATAAGACACAATTAAGACAAAGCTGCTTAGTTAATGAGTGAGCATGGGAAGATCTTAAAGATACAAGATTGATTGGGTGATTTATGTAGTCCTCAACTGTATGAGCTCATATATATTTACTGAAATACTCAGAATCAGTACTTTTCCAATATCTTACTCTGTTCTTGGCCTCATTCTTGAAATTCAGAGTTTCTCTGTTTATGGGACTTCATGCCTTTAATATTTGTATCTCTTATGACAATTTTATTTTAACTTTCCTTCTCCTGCAAATAATAAGGAATAAATAGGATTAATGAATTTAATTTCTTTTTTTTTTAAAGTAATTTCTTGCTTATGTAATGTGAAGATTCGTCAGTTTTCTTGTACATTCTTTACAGCAGTGTCCTAGCTTACTGTCATTGATACGAGTCACTTAGAACTTGGAAGGATAACATAATTATTAGATAGTTATTTTAGAAGCATGTGTAGTAGCCCGTCTACTGCCATAGTAATTGATAGCCAAATTATGAGGATACTAAGGAATGTTTAGAAAGTATATCCTACTTAAAATAGTTTACCACACTTATGTTTATACTGCATGTTAAGACAGTTCCTTCTACTGTGTTGACTAGCTTGATGCATCTCCTTCTCTAAAGTGGATGAAATTAGTGTTACAAGGATGTCTTGTGTCCAGACAATAAGAAATATATGGCCTGCTGCTCAGTTTCCACTGGACTTTGTGACTGTTAATGTAGTGACACTTGGTCTTTTTGCCTTTCTCCTTCCTCCCACCCTCCCAAATATACTTGACTCAATGCTACAACCTGTTTATAAGTTTGGATTTGAGTGGGGCAGCTATGCATGTATTCATAGACTTCTCTACGTTACGGAAGGTCTGAAGATGGGAGTTTTCTCAGTGCTTAAAAATTGCAAATCCTAAAAATGCTACATTTCAGCTGTGGAGAAAGCATGGCAGTTTGACTGATGTTGCTAAAGAACTTGCCATTATCGTGGTCTTGGGCCTTGCAGTTGTCTTATTTTAAAACTGTGAAATAACTTAATCTCATTGTGCGCAACCACAAGCTCTTTAAATAAAATGAAAATGTTTGACATTTAGTAGCCATAGGGATTAGAGCAGTAGTAGCGCTGATGTCACCGTTAGCTCAGTCTGAATATTCAGAGTGCCAGCCTTCTCACTGGAACAGCCTCGCTTTTTTTTTAGAATTCTTTCAATAATGAGCATTGTTCAGTAGAAATCAGCTGTGTAGAAATTAATGGCTCAGAAAGCTGTTTTTATTGCTCTTAGTCTGTAGTGAGAACATCAAGTTCCCGGCTTTCACGCCGAAACAGGATTTCACTTCACAAGACTGACTGTGGTTTTCCCTCCCCTGCCTGCTGTGGAGTTCAGTTTTATGCAGCCTGCATTATAATAAACTGTAAGCTACAGGTATTTTCTCTTAAACTTGTAAGATCAGAAGCTGGAGTGAGCTTAGTAGTAATACCTTTGTGTAGGGGATACTATTCAGCCCTAGCCCAACCTTCATTGTGTTTTCAGTATCCTGACTACAAAGGTATGAGATGCAGAGGAATGCTTCTGTTATGAGATCCATCTAAGAGGTGGTCACATTATTCTCTGAAGATTATCCTCCTTCTCCTTTCCAGTAATGAAGTGCAGGTTCTGCAGCTGAACAGTCTCGAGGTCATAGGCTTGCTGGCTGTGGAAATACTTGAAGATCCAGAGTCTCCAAAGTACTCCATAAAGGAAGGTTTTTTTTAGCAGATGAATTATTGTATTAAATGAAGGATAGAGAGGTCACAGTGTGAGCAGAAGAATTTGCTAACGAAGATGTAAGCAAATTATCTGGTCAAGAGAAAGATCAGAACTGGGTATTGAATATTCTTGACATTTTATGCAAAGAAATTCCAACCATTTGACACAACTCTGGTACATAAGGCATTGTAAGAATCAAATGTTAGCTTATGAACTTGAACTGTAGGAAGGCTGGAGGTAATTAGAGGAAGTAGGGCTTGAGAGGAAACAAGCTCCAATTTAATCAGATTTAAATCTCTAGTGGAGACAGTAAGTGCAGGTAGAATTGGAATTGAATGAAATGGTTCAGGAGTGCACAGCTGGGCATAAGAATTGCTGACACGGTGATGGTGCTTGAAGCTGTCGGAATTGATGAAATTCAATACAGTTGTAAGAAAATGGTGTAAGGTGTTGTGGTGTCCTGATCCCACAGGAAGGGCAGAAAATACTCCTCAGAGAGGCTAGGGATGTGGGAAAAAGAAAAATTTTGAAGGAGGAGAATTCTGTAGCAGAAGATGGGCGATACATGAAAGAAGCAGATGGGAGGTCCCAGCAGTATGCAGTAGAGCCATGAGTAATTGTTGTGAAGAAAACATGCTTAAACAGGAAAGAAGTTGAAACGAAAGTGGAAGACATTAAAAGTGATCTTGAAAAAGAGCTTTGGGCAGTGTTTGCAGGTAAAATCTGCTAACAAGTTTGCAGGTAAAATCTGCTAACAAGTTTGCAGGTAAAATCTGCTAACAAGTTTGCAGGTAAAATCTGCTAACAAGTTTGCAGGTAAAATCTGCTAACAAGTTTGCAGGTAAAATCTGCTAACAAGTTTGCAGGTGGAAAGAGTTGTGTAAGTTCAGAGATCATGTCAGGAATGATTAGGTGTTGTCTTTATGAGGATGATACTTTGGAATAAATTCGTTACAGACAGAAATTAAAAGGTGTTTTCAGCAATGCTAATGCATAACCTATGCAAAATATCTTTGTTTCTGATGAGTGTTACTTTCTCTTCTGTCATAGGAGACAGAATATATTTAAAATACATGCACTGTCTTAATGTTGCTTTTTATGCTTATTAAAAGTTACTTTTAGTATCACACTGGTTTTAATCATTATAAATATAGACAGTGACCTATTTGCAAAGATTGTTCCGTCTTTCATCCTCTTTAGTAATTGACTATTGCATAAACTGTGAAGCACTAAAGGGGATTATCACTAGGATGGCTGTTTTGCTTTGATTAATGCTGAGTAGTAAAGGTCTTGAAAAGAGATCTTTTTGTTTTACCTCTGCAGTTTCTGTGGGATTGCTGTAACTTTTTTTTAATTGAGAAAAGAATTTTTTGTGTGTTTCTGTAGAAGATGTGAGAGTATGTCTTCTGGAGATCTTAGCATTCTTGACTTTGTCACTTAGTGACTGGTGGCAAACCATTAGTGTTAGACTGTCTTGTTGGTCAAACATTAAACCTCTAACATAAATGGCTGTTACTGGTTTTGTGGGGCCCAGAATTAATTTGCTTCTATTGTAAGAAGTGTCATGCTGGGTTTTTTCATTCATTTACACAAGTAGTAAGTCCGTTCAATAATACTTCTCAAAAATTTGACAGTATGAAGGAAGCACGCTATGTACAAGGTTTTTTTTTCTTAATGAAACTGATATGTTCGCAGATTCATAGTGGTATGTATAATGTAATATTTTGAATTATGTTTTAAGTACCATCTTTTTAATCTCTTAACTCCTAATCGGCGTTTGTTATTCTAATGATGTTAAATGCTGAAATATGCCCATTATAATGAGGTGAAGAATAGTTTTGAATGGCAAGAAACGAAAAGCTTTATAATCTAAGGAGTTTTGTAAAACCTTAAAACACTTTTTTTTTTTTTTTGTAATTCCAGTAACTGCTGCTAGAACTTTGTAAACACCTTGAAATGTTTTCTGAGTTACATCAGTAACTCTGGATGTTGTCTGTCCAGAACCTTTAAGAAATACTTTTTCGGGCATTTTTTTTTTTCTACCCAGTGACCACAGGTCTGGATAGTTTCACTTTACAGTGGTGCTGTTGTGATCAGCTCTCTCTCA